TATGTCTGGGCGTGGCAAGTTTTCCCTGATATGACCCTATGCGGCGATATAGGTCCCATTACACAGTGTTCTCTGAAACCTTTTCCTCCTCGCTAGTTCTTCTCTTACTCTGCAATGAGTCTGCAAGCGACTCTGCATGTTCTTTTTCTTTTTTGAGCTTGTATTCATTGCTGAAGACCGGGTGGGTTCAGCGTCTCTTACATACATTACCCACTCAATGCTTCTCTCCCTCTCATGGCCAAGATTTCCCGAGACAGCCGCATTGATTACTTCCTGGTTCTCCAGGCTACCAGAGTCCCCTCGGCTGTGCAGATCTAATGTTTTGTTTTGCTTTTTCGTTTTCTCTTTTTCTTCTGAAGTAAAAGCTGGAAACTGGGTCTAGCATCCATCACATCAGAAATAAACTCAACACCCCCCTTCATTATGGCCAAGGGATCCTTAGACACCAGCATTGATTAAGTCCTTTCACAGAAAGGATGTACTACCGCTCCACCCCTGCGTCCTTTTAAACCTTCTGAAGCTCAAGATTTGAGACCGAGCCTATTCCTTTATCAATCAACCTATTCCCCAGCATGCAGCAGCCTAAGGCACAAGAATCAATATTTGAGACTAACTTCCCTAAAGCTTCTTTTAACAATCAAACTATTCCCCAGCATGCAGCAGACTAAAGCTCAAGATTCGAGACCAAGCCTATCCCTTCATCAATCAACCTATTCCCCAGCATGCAGCAGACTACGGCTCATCTGGATCAGGCGTTTTGTCTCTCTCCATTTGCATCTGTTCTCTCTGCTTCAACCAACTCCTTCGCTGACAACCAGACCTGCTCCCTTGTGTTCCCTGTTTTGGGAAAGGTGATGATGCACCCACCATTCCTTCCAAATGGCCCACATAGATCTACCTTGCTGGTTGCTGCATACTACCTTCTTCCCCCGAATTCAATGTACGGTCATTATAGCTGTATTTGAGGTATCTTTCAGTCTAAATACAGCTATAATGACCGTACGTTGTATTCGGGGGAAGAAGGCAGTCTTTCCGATTTAGAGAGGTGACATGGGAGGCTAGTCCAGAGAAGAAGGGTCACTAACGCCCCGGTTGTTGTAGAGGCGGGGTATTGAGTGCGGGAGTACTCTCGGGGGTTCATCCTTTTGCTAATACATAGTTTAGTAATAACAGGATCCCCTAAGCTCCTAGACTCACAAAAAAAGAAAGAAAAAGAAAAGAAAAAGAAAAAAGGAAGACCCTAGCCTGCGGCTCTGTTCTCTTGTGTAGAGCTTCGGCTCGATTCATTGTCCGCGAGTAGTAATAATGATCAGGCACTACTGGTGCTATCGATGACGTTTTCTAGCGAAGCATAATCGCGCCGACTGAAGCAGACGAGTCTCAGAACCAACCAAGCAGTGAAAAAATGTTTGGAAAGCATGAAGCTGGCAGGAATAGCGGTCAGGTTCGTACTATCATAGCATGAACAGCAGAGCACGTGTGGGGCCTGGCCCTAACACACTGAGAATGGGAGTCCTTCCTCACAAGAAGCCCAGGGATCATGCTACGACAGCAGCGCACTAACCTGACTGCTATTGCTGCCAGGTTCATGCTTTCCGAGCATGAAGATAGCACCAGTGATATGCTCAAGCCTTCACTCAAACCTGCGCCGGAGGTTTCACTCCCCTAATCCGCCTTAACCCGGAGAGGGTGGAAATCCTGGAGAGCTCACAAAAGCCCCGGAGAGCCTGATACGCACAAGCTTTTAACCCGCTCTGGGCCCAAGGCTCGAGTCTCTTAATGCGCTCCCGAAGGAACAACAGGCATAACATCCGATCAAGACGAAAGCCGCAAAACCGACAAGGCATTGCCTGCGAAGGAACAGGGTAACGAGCGCATGCCAACCTTGAGGTATTCATCACCATCAGTCAGCCACAGAGCTCCTCCTGTTCACAGCCTGGCCTTTCTATTCTTGAAAAGTGTGCGAGGCATCGCGAGCTTTTTATGATAATGTCAATGGTAGTCTGGCCCCAGCAATTGAGTTCTGTTACCACACTGGCTCACTTCTGGGCCAGTGCTGTAAAAGAACTCAATTGCTGGGGGGGCAGACTACTATTGCAGATGGGCTTGGGATGCTCCGATGCAGTGGAAACTCTAGCATCTTCTGGAATCGTCGGAGCATCCCAGTTCCCTCTGCTATTAGCTTTCTTGAGCAATCAAATAATCTAAGCACATACACGACAACATGTTTGACTGAATCTGCCCCTGGTAATTCAGTTCTGTTGCCAGCCTACCTCGGACAAGAAAGCTCTGGCATTTCCTGAGAACATCCCGACTCCCTCTGTCATGGGCAGTCCTTAAACCGCCAGTACCTGGTGCGCCGGGCTGTGCATGAACCGGGGTGACGTTTCACCCCAAATCGGCATGAACCAGCGTACACAACGTGTTCCGCCAGTCATTTTGCAGAAACAGGTTGTGCACGCTGGTGCGTCGGGCGGCATGAACCGGGGTGGCATTTCACCCCAAATCAATCTAGGCAAAAATGGGTTGCATGCAAGGCCCGATCTCCCCGGATGGGTTTCGGGCGAAACGACACCCTTGGGGCATCCCGCCCCACCCGCCAGCATGCACGGCGTGTTTCTACAGAATGGCACTGGGAAATGTACTGGTGGTTTGACAGTCATATCATCTCTAAGGGTTCAGCATACCCCAACAAACCGCCCCCGAAGCACAAATAAGGTATTGCCGCATTAGTAACAAGCTCAGATTTTGGACCCGCCCACCTTGATGAGTGCAAGCCGCCACCTGGTGAGCGCAAAAACCACCCACCCACCCATACACACACACACACACACACACACACACACACACACACACACAAAGCTGAAAAGATTGGTGAAAAGATGTATAGCCCGAGAGGCTTTTCCGGCTTGACTATGTTGTCGGTCAGGAGGTACGCATAGACTTGTCTGGCCAAATGGACCTGGCCAGGAGATTTGGGCTTGAATCGCCACTTGATGGCATTGTAACCTAGCAAACACAAAATATGATTATTAATTTATAGTAAATTATTACAACATAATAAATCAGATATATAATATATATAACATAAAATTGGATAAAAATATGCTACTATAAATTGTAATCCCTATACTCTAGAAGGCAACAGCGGATCTCGTGAGACGCATCCCGCTGATACCTTTTTCCCGTGCGGGCCCGGTGCACCGTGGGCCCGGCGCGGTTTTTCGTTTACGGCCGTTTTTTTTTTTTTGGGTTGGTGTTGACGTGGCCTTATGAACGGGGTCTTTTTTCGCTGCGGGTTTGTTTTGCGCCGCGCCGTCGATTGCAGAAAGTCTTGTTCGACAGGTGTCGGCCATATTCAGCCAGGTAGTGTATATTTCCATGTTCTAGCGGATGATTCATTCGATTTTGTTCATCCTATCGATGGAAATAGCATGATGCCAACCACGAGGTTCGAGACCTCTCTCTCTCTCTCTCTCTCTCTCTCTCTCTCTCTCTCTCTCTCTCTCTCTCTCTCTCTCTCTCTCTCTCTCTCTC